TCAAATACAAAAAGTGTATCACATTCAGCTTGAGTTTTTATTATCGATAATTTGATGACTTTGACCATATTTGCTCCATTGTCCGAAATAACAAGCAATATTTTTTCTCTAGAAATATTCCAAATAATTTAGAGATTTTTTAAAACAATCACCAATTTGTTCACCAGTTGGTCACCAGTTGTTCACCAGTTGTTTCACAAGATTAATTACAAATTAGGCAAAGCATGTATTGGTTTTTAGGATTTGCATTGAAAAAAAACAAACCAAAATTCCTAAAAAGGATGCAATAAGACCTGTTAGTCCAACCATCAAGGCATAATGTGAAGCGTCTGCTTTCAGATATGAGGTCACAATTATATTGTATATTTATATTTTATTTATATATATTTATATTTTATTTATATATATTTATATTTTATTTATCTATCTATTTATTAACCTATCAATATATAAATTTATACGTTATTAAATATTTACTCTAAAATGATAAAAAAAGTTGTTAGTTTCAAAAGTTTTAAAGGGTAAACAGATTCTATCTGTTGACCAGCCTCGCACCCCTTCTTCATCTATTAGGCTGGCATAGATGTATTTTTAATACATTGTTTCCAGTTTAGGATGTTGAACACTGGATCTTCTTGACTCAATACATGTGTTTTGCTTGTGTCTCTGTTTTTATGACCAGGCAACTCATTCTATTATCTCCAAATGAGGGTACAGCTCAAAAACTCAGTTTTATGGTTCTGAGGCCGGCTGGTAGTCAGGTTTCCTGAACTCTGTGGTAGCTTTCAGAGAGGCTGATTCCATCAATAGCTGAAAAATATCAAAACGCTAAAAATGCCATGTTGCGCATGGATGGTGTCCCTCTTAGTACTTTTGGTGTGCATCGCCAAGGCCACGTTGGAGCCCTTTGTTACGGCTCAGGGTTTATTAATAGAAATGAGGCAATTACTTGGGCTATAAAACAATGTACTGAGTACTATCTATGTTTCGAGTCAAGTTCTTTAACAAATCTAAAAATGAATAAAGTACCAAAAACTATAAAACACAAAAAACCACAGTCATCACTAAGTTCGCTAAACCTATCATTCACTAATATTTGTGGTCTTCGAAGTAACTTTTCTTCTGTTGAAATCTCTTGCAAAGTTCACCAGACCTACTTGCTCCTTGTGAGACTAATTTGAGTTTAGCTGTCTCATCTTGTGATCTTAGTGTTGATGGTTATCTTCCTTTAATCCGTAAAGACTCCAATAGTCACATGCTTGGCCTAGGCATTTACATTCGTAAGAATTCACCCATTTGTCGGGAAACTAGGTTTGAATCTACAGACTACTCTTTTATGTACTTTCGTTTAGCACCACTTCACTCTATCACCTTTCTCTTTGTTCTATATCGCTCTCCCTCATGTCAAGACTGCACTCTTCTTGATGTTATTTCTGATCATATTGACCAAGCCCTCTCTCTTTATCCATCAGTCAATATTGTTGTTGTCGGTGACTTCAATGTTCATCACAATGAATGGCTTGGCTCAAGTGTCAGTGACTCTGCAGGCAGTAAGGCCCACAACTTTTGCCTTTCTCAATCCCTATCTCAAATAGTCAACTTTCCAACTCGCTTTCCAGATAACCCAAATCATTTACCTTCTTGACTTATGTACTCGAATTATGTCTTATTTCTAATCCTAGTCAGTGCTTAATTTCTCCACACTCACCCTTAGGTGCCTCCGATCATGGTTTGGTCTCTCTAAAACTATTATCTCATTCTTCTTTATCATCAGAATCCCCCTATCATTGTACATCTTACAACTACCTTAAAGCTGACTGGGACTCTTTCCATGATTTTCTTCGTGATGGCCCCTGAGAAATCTTTCGTTTTCCTATTGACAAATGTTCTACTTACATAACTTCATGGATTCAGGCTGGCATGGAATCCTTTATTCCCTCTCGACAATTCCAGGTCAAGCCTCACCCTTCTCCGTGGTTTTCCTGGCATTGTGCTGCTGCAATTGCCAATCAAAACCATTACTTCCATATCTATCAGCAAAACAATTCTCCAGAAAACAGACATCTGTTTATTACTGCTAGGAACCATTGTAAAAAGGTTTTGTCTAACGTCAAAGCCCGCTATTCTCAGATTATGAAATATCGCATTTCATCACAAAAGTTAGGCTCTCGCGACTTCTGGAGAATCTTTAATAGCATGAATAATAAGGGCAAGTCTGTAATTCCACCTCTTTTGTATGGTTCACACTTTGTCACCTCACCTAAAGACAAAGCTGAATTATTTGCTAAGAACTTTTCATCAATATCATCTCTTGACTCCACTAGTTGCGTTTTACCTGATATAGCCGTCAAACAGGTTGATCCATTGTTCGACATCCATATCACTCCAGCTTCTGTATCTAAAGGGATTTCCTGCTTAGACTCTTCTACAGCTTGCGGCCCGGACAACATACCAGTTATAGTCTTGCAGAAGTGTTCTCCGGAGCTGTCGTCTATCCTTTAAAAACTATTTAACAAGTGCTTATCAGAGTCTTGTTTAACAGCCTGCTGGAAAGCAGCATCTGTTATCCATATTTTTAAAAATTCTGGAGAGCAATCTGATTCACCTAACTACCGTCCCATTAGTCTTCTTCCTATCATAAGCAAGGATTTTGAATCTTTAATTAACAAACATTTAATCTCTCATCTTGAATCTAATAACTTTCTGGTCATCAATATGGATTTCAATCTTCTCGTTCTACAGCTGATTTGCTAACAGTAATAACCGATAGATTTTATTGTGCATGAGATAAAGATGGAGAGGTTAAGGCCATTGCTCTTGACATTTCTAAAGCTTTTGATAAAGTTTGGCATGCTGGTCTCCTCCATAAGCTTTCTTCTTACGGTGTATCTGGAAACATCTTTAAGATTATTGAATCCTTTCTTTCCAATCGTAGTATAAAAGTTGTCCTTGATGGACAGTACTCTTCTTCTTATTCTGTAACCTCAGGGGTTCCTCAAGGTTCAATCCTTGGCCCTATACTCTTTTTAATTTATATTAACGATCTTCCAGATATTCTCACATCTAAGATGGCATTGTTTGCTGATGATACTACCATTTATTCTTGTCACGACAAGAAGCCAACTCCCTCTGATTGCTTGCAGGGGGCATCTGAGCTTGAAAAGGATCTCACTTCTGCTACAGCATGGGGCTCACAGTGGCTGGTGAACTTTAATCCAGATAAAACTCAATTTTTTTCAACCAATCATTATCGCAATAATTTAGACCTTCCTTTATTTATGAACGGTAATGTACTCGATGAGTCATCTACCCTTCATCTTCTAAGATTAACTCTCACTTCTAATATTTCTTGAAAACCTTATATCAAATCTGTTGCAAAATTAGCATCTGCTAAAGTTGCATCTCTTTATTGAGCTCGACACTTTCTTACTCTGGATTCTATTCTATATCTGTATAAATCTTAAATTCAACCTTGTATGGAATACTGTTGCCATATCTAGGGCGGATCTTCTAATGATGCCCTTTCTCTTTTAGACAATGTGCAAAAACGCATTGTAAACATAGTTGGACCTGGTCTTGCAGCCAACCTTCAACCTCTGTCACATCGTCGTATTGTCTATCTACTAAAATTCATTCTCGTGTTACTCGTCATTCAATTAAGTCTCATCCTTTTTCTGTTACTGTTCCTAAGTGCTCAAAAAACTCTTATTCATCTAGTTTTTCTCCTCGAACATCAATTCTTTATAATTCGCTTCCTTCATCTTGCTTTCCTGATTCATATAATTTGCAATCTTTTAAGTCGTCACAAAAAGGACACAAGTCTTTTAATAGAAACTTTTCAAGATCATGAAAAATGTTTCTTATTAAAAGTCTCTGGTAGTAAGGAAACTAAACATAGGAGCAAATGAATGATAAAAAAGATAAAAGATAAAATAATATACAATTTAAGAGTTTTTGTTTTTGTTTTTTTAACATATATCATGCAAATATTTTTAATTAAAAGTTTTAAATTAAAAATTTTAATAAATGAACTTGTATCCTTTTTGAAATGAGAGTGTTCTTGCAGCTGATTTGCTGTTTTTCCATTTTTAGAGCTATTATATTTCTTAAGATTCTATAACTTTGATACAGACAATTTTACCTGTACAGCAAAACCTGATCAAGCAGCCCTGCAGCTTGATTAGCCAGATTAGCCTTTATTTTGCTTGACTATTTGGGTTCACTTAAAGATAACTTGTTTAGCTGGATTTTTGTGATCCTTTCTAATGTAGTTTGTTAGTAAGTCTGCAGGTATTTAGAACTATTAAAAGTAATACTTGAAAGGGAAGTTAGGGTTATTAGATGTTTCTTTTAATTTACTCAATTTTAGCTGTCAAATATGCATAACTTAAATCAGCTTATTACCAATAAGTCTATAACTTCTTTACAGCCCTTGACTTTTTAATTTTTTGAGATTTCAATAACAGTATAATTTTCTTGACTGGCTGTGTTTATTTACAGTTGAAATTAACAAACATATCTACTAGCAATGCAGCTTATTTTCAGTAATTTTCCAATTAGTATATCACTGAACCTCTTTGATTCTGATATGTTCTGATTTTTTTAGTTCTTTGTGTATTGTTGTGCAACAACTTTATCATTTAATAATTTTATTGCCAATTGCATATTTTGGAATGCTGCAAATATTTCAAAGTCTATCTTTCTTAGTTGTTGTTTTTCAAATCCATAGTTATAGTTAGAAGAAAGGCTTAGAGAGAGTAACTAATCTCAATAGCAGTTGATTAACTTCCAGTCGTGAAATTTTCAAAGTATATTATTTACCATATTACAGACACAGATATATATATATATATATATATATATATATATATATATATATAGAGAGAGAGAGAGAGAGAGAGAGAGACAGGAGAGACTTTGTTTCTTTTTTAAATCTAAGTAAAACAACATGTTTTTTGTTTTTACATAATATTTTTAAAAAAAATTATTTAAAATCTTACTTATAACCTCCAAAACAATTGTAGATTTTGCAACAAACATAGAACTAGTTCGTATTTGGCAAAAAAACTTTACTCCATCATCAACTTTAAGTTGAACTGATCTAAGAGTCAATACTGCAAAAGTTAATTCATCTGTTGAAATTACAACATTTGAACTGCCATAGCGCTTAGTTAATTGTTCATTGTATTCAAGAGGAGTGTTTTTTTGTTTTCGAGCTATATAAACCTCTTTGGAGTTTTCCTTACTTTCAAACCCAAATGTAATGAGCTTGCTTTCATCTGACATATTGAATTGCCATTCAAAAACAGCATTTTTATTATTTTCAACTTGAATTTTTCGATTAGGATCATTATTAGTAAACTGAATGCCAGCGTCTAAATAAAAAAACATTAATTATACAGCATAGCTAAAACATATTTGTTAAAAAATTATGAATAAAAATTTCTGTTTAATAAATTGCAAAAAATTAGTTAAAAAATACACAATTAGTTAATAAAGTAATTCAAAAATGCATGAGCAGATAAGCTAATATATATATATATATATATATATATATATATATATATATATATATATATATATATATATATATATATATATATATATATATATATATATATATATATATATATATATATATATATATATATATATATATATATATATATATATATATATATATATATATATATATATATATATATATATATATATATATATATATATATATATATATTAAATATATATATTAAATACATATAAATACATATATATATACATATATATATATACATATATATATATATATACATATATATATATATATATATATATATATATATATATATATATATATATATATATATATATATATATATATATATATATATATATATATATATATATAAATTGTACAAAACATAAATAATAGTGAAGAAATATTAAAAAAGCAATAATCAACCTAAACTTTTTATTAATTTTTTTCTATTTTTAAATTTTGACTTGATAGTAGCAACATACCTATTGCTGTCAATACACTTAAGACATATAGAAAGCCATAGTTTTTCTTTTTTAAAAAATGATACGCATATATAGAACTACAAAAAACAATCATACTGCCCGGTATAATAGTTTAACATGACTAACTAACGGTGATTTTAAATTTCGTTTTTGTCTCATGTCAAAAGTCATACAGCTCTGACAATAGAACAACAAAACTAAGCATTTAGAAAAAATGACTTTGGTTTGATTATATAATTAATTCATTTTAAAAAGAAATTTTTGCTCAAGAATTTATCAAATGTTAATAAATCATTAACAGCTTAAAAAAGATGAAAAATGTGTAGACATGCCCCCCCCCCTCCCCTATACGCGCATTTTAGATGTAGAAATTTATAAAAATTTCTACATCTAAAAAAAAAATACATCTAAAAATTTATAAAAATATGCGAGTTAACACTTTCCATACTTACTTCAGAACGAATACCGCTCGTACCATATGCTCTGAATTACAAAAATCATCAAAGCAATAAAATAAATGAAATAAAATTCTGTTTTTATAAAAGTTCTACTTAAACTGTTTCTGTTCTGAATGCGTGCTTCATCTAGTCAAACTTCTTTTCAAAGACTTGATCTAGTCAAACTTAAACTTCTTTTCCATTGAATACCATTGGCAGGGTCGCCGAGAGCTGTAACGCCGCCTGGGACAGCAATCCCTAGCAAATCCCTATATTATATATGAAGGATGACTTTTTTTTTTTCCTTGGATATCTGCCGCCCGGGACAAGCTGTCCCTGTGCCCCCCCCCCCTCGGCGGCCCTGGCCATTGTAGTTGTTTTTGCTAAGATATCGATGATTACAAAATACATTTTTATTATTTTTTGTTTCACCCGTAAAATTAGTTGCACTGGTTCCAAAATTATTGCCTAAATAACTGAAAATTCTAACTTTGAATATACAAGTGTATTTTCTAAAATCTAAAAGTTATTATAAATCAAATTTTTAATTTTAAAAAATATATTATAATTAAAAAGTGAAATAGAATCGTTAACGTCTCCCGACGGAAAAATACTTGTATGTTGCATTAACAGTCTCCCGTTTTCAACCAAGGCTAACCGCGAAAGCAGTAACAGAATTTTTTCTTGCGTACGAAAAAAAATATGATTAAATTTTATATATAACTATTAAAAATTTTAGACGTTTCATGCACTGAACATATGACTAATGCTACAAGTCCCAAAAAAAATTCTTTATTTTTAACATCCTGTTTAATTTACTTTCTTCTTTTTCGAAAAACATGTTGTGTTAAACATATAAAAATACAATAAAAACTATATTCAAAAACTGTATGGGGAAGGGGGGCAATCGACCCCATTGCAACCTCTCCCCTAACCAACCGGCCCTGCTCTAAAGGCCTTCCTTCCGACTTCAGATCCTAATATTAAACGCATATTTTTTTATATAAATGCAAAGAATAAAACTAGAAAAAAATTTTTTATAAAGTTTGCGTGACTGAATGGATAAAGCGATAGGATTCTATGCGGATGGTCGCGAGTTTGAATCGCAGTCTAATAGCAGTTTTTATTTTTATTTTTATATAAATAAATTGAGGATGCGTGTTTCAAGTACACCACTTTTCTTTAGTAAGTCCATCAAAAATTTGTTTAACGTAAAATAAGTAATATTAAAAACTATAGCCTAAAATAAATGCAAAAGCATTTATTTTATTATGATAATTTATATTATTTTATTTAGGATTTCTAAAAACATTTATATCGAGCATTTTTTAAGACCTATTAAAGATGTCTTTTATATAATCGCATTTTAAAAGACATAAAAAAGACGTTTTCGTTAAGACGTATGAAATTTGTTGTGTAGAGGTCTAAAAGTTGTCGTTCACAAGGCGTCTTTATTTAGTTGTTTTATTTTTTGATGTTTATGGACATCGAAAAAGCGCTTTGTGTTTTCTGGGTAGCTAGTAAAATATGAAAAACAATATCATTCTTTTTTTTTCCTTGTTATAAAGACAAGTATACCACACCACCTCTACATAAATGTCATGTAGTAGCAAAGGTCGTCAATTCGTTATTTATTAAAAAACATTTAGTTATTAACATGCACTTAAAAAATGTGATAAAATAGAAAGAAAAAAGTTAACTAAAAATGTTTTCTGTACGCAAATGCAGAGCCTTTTCCCTCCCCCATCATTCCATCCTTTGTATGAGCGTACGTACTTTAAGGACAATCCTTAATCAGTTTAGTAATGCTGCCATTTGCAATTTTGAATCTCTCCAGTTCAGTCGTGCTGCTCTTTGCAATTCTATCACAACTACAAAAAATAATAATGGTCTGAACGATCTATGCGTATCATATAAAGCTTTACATAGTGATTCATATCACATAAAGAATTTTAAATGCTTATTGTTAAACTTGTTTGAATTACAAAATGGAGATTTTTATATAATTTCTCCGAACACAGGTTTATTCTTTTGCATCCTTTACCATTAATTTACAATAAATTTTTTTTTGTCACATTCGACACCTTAGATTAAATTGTGTTGGGCATCGAGTACTTTTGATTTTAATGGCTCTTTTATATTGCAAACTGCTTGCTATAGTTTCTCTAATAAAATTACTCTTACATTTTAATTTATTCACGTGTTACAAGTTTTAACCTTTTTTTCTTTAATTTAATTGCTGCTATACTTTTTCCTTCTTGCTAGAAGGTGCATTTTCAAGAAATGCTATGCACCTTTTTTTTTTTTTTTCAAGAAATGCTTTTCTTTCACTCTGATTATCTTTTTTATCATTTTTTACTCGTGAATAATATAGTAATTACTTTTTTCTTTTTTTTTTTTTTTTATTTAATATATATTTGCTGTTTATATAATAAGAAATATAATTACAAAGAAACGTTTACATACAAAAAAAAGTGAATTTATAATAAACAGGCAGGGGCTCAAAGAAGATACGGATGACTAAAGTCACCACAATCTTTTCATAGAGCCCCTAGGTGGGCTTTGCAAGTTAAAAAAAAACAGTATCTCCAATATAATAAAAAGGTTAAAGCTTGCATAAATATTTCCATTAAATCAAGAAAGTAAATAACATCATATAGTTTTATCAATATTCATTAAAATATATTGGCAACTCTGTTAAGTATCAAAATAAGAGCCAATTAACAAAAAAACTAAAAATAATGGAACTCGTTTTTCATTTCGAAAAATCAAGAAAACTATTTATCTAATTTAAAAATTTCATTTTTTATTATAAACTTAAAGGAATTTAATGATTTTAGGGTAAAATTTTTGTTTTTTGAAAAGTGTTCCATAGTTTTGGTCCACGGTATGATATTCCATATTCAGAATACTTACTATTAATTCTTGTTAATTTATAAGTATTCCATTGATTTATTCTAAGAGAATATTTTTTGTTTACATTTATTGTAAATTTATCATTAAAGTTTTTTGGAATCAAGCTGTTGTTACATTTATACATAAAAATTAGGTGTTGGTAAATCATTGATTTCATATATATTCATCATTTTCATGTCTTCCATTAATGGTTTTACATGTTCATATTTTTTTTTATATATATAAGTCTCCATGCATGTTTTTGTAAAGAAAATATTTTTTTAAGTTTTGTTGGTTGAGTACTAGCCCATGTGATATTGGCATAGTATATGAAACAATGTGTTAGGCCAAAATATACTAATTTCAGACTTTCTGATGTTACATATGGACAAATACGGTACATTAGTCCAACTGTTTTACTAGTTTTTGATTGAATATAATTAATATGGGGAAGCCATGATAAATTTTTATCAATAAGAATTGCCAAGAATTTTATTGAATCATTTTTACTAATTAGTACATCATTTAAAATAATTACATCATTTAAAATCAAATCAGGTAATTTTAAAGAAAGGTTTTCATCTTGTGATTTTTTATGAAATAAAGTATATTTTGTTTTATCTACATTGAGTGAAAGTTTATTTGCCTTAAACCATTCATCTACATTCATTAGTTTAGAGTTCATGTCAGAATACAGTTGATTAATGTCACAGTTTGAAAGGAAGAGATTTGTGTCGTCAGCAAACATTATTGAGTTAAGCTTAGCTGATGCATTATTAAAATCATTTACATAAATCAAGAAAAGTAATGGACAAAGAATTGACCCTTGCGGAACTCCACACAAAATATTAAGTTGACCTGATTCCTTACTAATAACATCTTGTTTTCTCTCAGTGAGGTAGCTTTTTAACCAACCATAGGTTTTATTTATCACTCCATAATGTTTTATTTTTTCCAAAAGAATTAGGTGATCAACCGTATCAAATGCTTTTGATAGGTCAATAAATAATCCTAAGGTGAAGCTATTATTTTCAAATCCTTTAGTAATTTGGTCTACTATTTCAATTATTGCGTGTTCTGTTGAATGTTTTTTCCGAAAACCAAACTGTTTTGTATAAAATAAATTATTTTCATTAAAATGGTTATAGATTCTATTATAAATTACACGTTCAAATATTTTTGAAAATACAGAAAGTACTGATACAGGTCTATAATTAGAGATTTCAGATTGATCATTATTTTTGTAAATTGGACATACTTTTGCCAACTTTAATGCTTCAGGAAAAATTCCTTCTTTTATTGAAAGTTTTATAATATGGAACAAAGGTTTTGAGATGCATTTTTTGTTTGAAATAACTATATTACTAGAAACATCATCGAAACCAGGTGATTTATTCTTTTTTAAAAAAGAATAAGCAATTTCATACTCTTCATGAGAAAATTCGCGATCTTGCAGCATCGCGCCATTTAAAGATTTAAGATATTTTTGAAAAGAATTTGGTGTAGTTATGATTTTTTTAGCAAGGTTAGGGCCATTGTTTGTAAAATATTTATTTAACTCATTCGAGATTTGTAATGGACAATAGATATCAGTTTTATTGATATTTATTCTTTGAGGTAGTATAGCCGTATTTATTTTTTTTCTTCCCATTATATCGTTAATTAAATCCCATGTTTTTTTCACCTCGAATTTGATTTTGGTAATTTCTTTACTATAATATGTTTTTTTTAGCTTTCTTGAGAAGATTTTCGTAAAAGCGTAGGGGAGAGTCGGGTAATGGCGAACGCGGGGTAACTCCGAACAAGGCCGTTACGGCGTGTTA